TGTTTTTCTTTTGAGATCTATCTTGTGTGGGGTTCTATGAGCTTCTTGGACAAATATCTTTTATTCTTTCATGACATGGGGGAAGTTTTCTGTTAGCAGGTCTTCCACAATTTTCTCTGTTTTTTTTTTTTTTTTGTTTGTTTGTTTTGTTTTGTTTTCACCTCTTCTTGTACTGAAATTCCAATGAGTCATATGTTGTTTTTTCTCATGTCACCCATATAATTCTTAGGTTCTCTTCATTTCTCTTAAATCTTTGTTCTTATTTTTCTTCATACAGGCTGGTGTCCAGGAATTTGTCTTCTAGTTGAGATATGTGTTCTTCATATCTCATATTTACTCTTTTGTGCTTCTACTGTGTTGTGTAATTCTGTAATTTTGGTATTCATCTACTGGATTTCTACCTGCTGTTTTTGTATGAGTTCAGATTGTGCATTAATATTGTTATTTTGTTCTTCAATGATTTTCCTGAGATCTTCCAGGGAACTCTCTGTGTTCTCCTTGTTTCTGTTTGGGGTTTCCTTAGGCTCTTGTAAAGCTCTATAAACATATCTTCTAAATTCCTTCTCAGATAATTCTATTGCTCCCTCTTTCTCCATTATTATTGAGAACTTTGTTTGTGGTTTTGCTTCTAATGCCTTGTCCTGTTTTGTTGTTTGGTTTGAGGTTGCCTGTTGTTTCCTAGACATTCTGAGGTTGTCTTTAACTGTTGGTTATGTATTGATTTGTTTTGTCTTGGTTTTATGGTTTAATATTTTGATAAGGTGAAGCTGGTGTATTTTATTTTTTCAGTTATTAATTCAGATATGCTGGATTGCTCTGCAGTTTTCTTTGTGATGGTGGAATCACTGTGTGGAATGTGGATATGGGTTTCTATTTGTTGTAAAGAGGGTTTAGAGTTTGAATTGGGAGGGATTATGGTGGCTGAATGTGGTTTCTTCTATTGGATGAGTGAAATTATTGGTGGAAATGGTGGGAGCCGAAGATCAGGAGAAGGGAAGTTCCCTGTTGGTAGCAGTGATTTCTAGGGCTTTGAGCAGGCTGCTAATGACGAGGTTGTGCTGTTACTCACAGGCCTGCAGCACAATTTCAGCAAAGACTCCAGTTGTTAGGGGGTCACCACTTTCTGCCAGGCTCAGACAAATTCCCTGTTCCTGAGACCCCTCATTGCCAAAAAGCCAATCCAAGACAATTGTCCAGCTCCACGATCTGCCACAAGAGTTCCTGTCTCTGGTCTTTCCCACCCGCGGTACCAGCCCAACCAGCCCAGACCACAATCTGCCACCGGAGCTCCTCTGTGGGTCCGCCCACCCACAATGCCAACGATCCTCTCAGTTTCAACAGTACTGGAGTCAGGAGAGTGCTTGCTAGTAATCTGTGGCCCCAATATCACTGATAAAGTCAAGCACAGGCCTCTCAGTGCCACTAAGCTGACCCAAACCTGATCAGTGACCAGCTGTGGGGGCACCTCCCTGGGCCCACTTTCCTGCAGCACCAATGCACTCTCTGCTCAGTTTCAGTGGCACTGGATGTGCCCATTTGCACCTAGCCAACTCAAGTTACCAATAAAATCAGGTGCTGAAGGTAGATCCTTGGGGTGATTGCTGGTATGCTCATGTGGTGTGTCTTCTTCCTTAACCCAGGGAGGTCTTGGATGGCCTTTCTCGCCTGCTGGTCAACGCTTTCCCCAGGGAAGTCTTCAATGGCCTTTCTCAGCTACCTGTCAGTGCTCTGTAGGATAGATCTTCTGATCTTGTTATTTCCCCACCCCACGTCCCTTTCTCCTTTCTAATTCTACCCCTCTGAGTTTGGAGCACTCTGATTCAGTTAGTGGTTCAGAACACCAGAATCCCTAATTCAAACTGCTGTACCTAATTTTTCAAGCACTAAGATGCTCGGGGGAGCTCCGGTAGCTTAGTGCCTAAGGCACTTGACTGCTAACCAGAAGGCTGGAGGTTCAAACCCACTGGCCACTCCTTAGGAGGAAGGTTGAGCAATCTACTTCTGTAGTGATATTGCCTCGGGGCTGACTCAAGTGCACATAACAACAACAACAACAAGAAGACGAAACTCCATTTTGAATCCTCTTCAAAGGCTTTTTCCATATAAAGTAACATTTACAGTTTCCAGGAGTCATTATTCAGCCTACTGAAACTTATGTGTTGGGGTTTAAATAGCTTCTCTTACTCAAAATAGAGGTTTTCCTGGAGATGCTGATGGTTTTGTTTGTGCTGCTTCTGTACTCTCAGTGACTCAGAGGAAAAAAAGGATACATTATTGTGAAATCTTTACCCTTACTTTCTCCTTTACTGGAATCACACAGAAATCCCCTAATGTTCCCCGTAACAGGTCACGTGATATCTGAGTTCTTGTCTTATTACCTAGTGCTGCTATAACTGCAAGACCACAGGTGTGCGGCTTTAACAAACACAAGTTTATTTGCTCACAGTTCAGCAGGCTGGAAGTCCAAATTCCGTGTGTCAGCCCTTGGGGGAGGCCTTCTCTCTGTATTGATTCTGGAGGAAGGTCTTCATTCCTTGGTTGTCTGGTGATCTTCATGTGGTGTGGCATCTGTCTTCCCCATCTCTGCTTGCTTCTCTGTGCCTAATTGCTCTTTTTATATCTCAGAGGTTGTTGGCTTAAAACACATCCTTCACTTTTAGGGTCTCTTAGCTTAACAAAGAAAACACGTTCCCTAATGGGATTATAGTCACAGGTATAAGAGTTAAGATTTACAATGCATATTTTGGGAGAACACAATTCAATCCATAAAAGCCTTCCTTTGTTCGGTCCTGCTGACAACCTCATTTAGGCTTTCATTGCCTCTCACACAGGTACTGCAATGCACTTCAAAATTGTCTTTCTCCCTCTATTCTCTTCACCATGGCAGTGCTGTGCTTAAAATGCTGTTCTGATTATGTTTTCCTCCTTCTAAAACCTTCAGTAGAATATTCCTCAACTACGTAATTATCGTGCTGGGTTCATTCTTTCTATTCACCCTCCATTCAGTCTCTCTCTTTGCTAACATTCACCAAGTCCTTAATGTAGACTGGGTATTATTCTAAATCCTTCATACATATTAACAAACTCAGTCCTTACAACAAGCCTACCAATTAGCTTCTGTTATTACAACAATTTATGTGAGTAATCTAAGGCAGAGAGAAGTTAACACTTTTCCTATCGTCACACACCAGTGGCAAGGGGAACCAGAAATCTGCAATTTCAAATTCTTTGCCTCTAAACTTTCTGTTATTTATACACTAAGCTCTACTCTTTCTAACCTTTCTATGCTTTTTCCCCCCCTAACTTTACATGCATATTTCCCCTTATGTAAATACCCTCCACTGCGACTAAATTGTATTACTGATGGCTCACTAAGTCCAGTTCATGGTTGCTTTCTCTGTATCTTTACTAAATAGTTTATTGTAGCAGAAAACTTCTCTCTATTGTAAACTTAGCCCAGTGTCTACTTTTGCATGAATCCCTGTATTTTTCCTTAGCTCAGTGTGATTCTTTTCATTCCCTAAATTAAAAGAAAAGGAAGATTACATGTGATAAGGAAGCTGAAAATTGGTTAAGTTAGTGGTTTTTATACTGCAATTATACAGCCTTAATTTTGCTCTTTTTCCTGCTCTGAAATATGGCCATTGGGTCCAACGCCAATCACACAGGCAGGAGATCTGTTGCCATGTGGCACTCACTCCTGGAAGATCAGTATTCACTTGAATGAAAGAATGGTCATAGGATATTTTTTTCAGATAAGCAATGTTTAATGAATGCAATTGTTATAATTATTTAGTGAATGGACAAAGTGCTGACATTTTAACAGACTTTAGCCAAATAAATAAATAATATTTTCAAAAAGTTATCCTTTTCCCTTCAACAGAACTGCAGAACATTTAATAAACAAAGAATGAAATAGATAGTATCTGCAATTGTCAGAGTCCTACAGAAACACAAGCTGTGCCAAGTGATGTGCAATGAAGTAACACATGCCTCTTTCTTTAAATAAAATGTAATATCTATAAGAGAATAATACTCTAGCATTTACCCTTTCAACATCCAGGTCTTCCATATTTATTTAGTTCCTATAAATCCATTCATAAAAATAATTATAAAGTATGTCTCTTAAGTGATTCAAAATATCCTTTTTATCCATCTATACTGAGCTCTATTAAATATGTCCATAACCAAAAAATCCAAAACCGTATCAGTGAGTTGATTCTGATTCATAGTGACCCTATAGGACAGAATAGAACTGTCCCATAGGGATTTCAAGGCTGTAAATTTTCATGGGAGCAGACTGCCACACCTTTCTTTTGCAGAGCCACTGGTGGGTTCAAACTTCCGAACTTTTGGTTGGCAGCCCAGTCCTTTAACCACTGTGACACCAAGCCTCCTTAAACATATTCATTGGCAATAGCCTTACTTCTATTTTTATTAAATAGAGAGAACAAAATATGCTGCAAGGAAAGGAGAAAATAAAATATATTTCTATCCAGGAATAAACCTGGTTCTACAAACATATTGTGTGAGGTCCTATATACTCGAAGATCACAAATCTGATGATTTTTCTGTAGCTTGGAAATGATTATTTCCCAAATGAGAAAACTCAATGTTTGAAAAGAATATAATGCTTCCAAACATAAAAGTTAATCAGTTGTTTGGACCAGGCATTGGACTGCCTGTCACTAAGTCATTAGTAGATTAACCCAAAGCTTTTCATAAAAGGAACGTGATAGTGACAGACATTCTCAAGGTCATCCCCATAGAGAAAAGTACTCAGTGTTTGTAAGTCTTTTCTTATAATAAAAATCTGCCTGTATAGTAGGGTAGTGCCCTAATGGCAAAGATCAGTTCCATGAAAACCCTTCTATGCAATACTATGATGATATGAGTGCAGCATCTGAGCTCTTGCTCCCTGGGGGGATGACTAGACTGCAACATATTTGTATGTTCAGAAATATAGGTTTACATTCTTACCAGCAATTGTTATTTCCCAGGTGCAAGTTGTCAGTTTTGCTACAGAACATAATTGGGATTCACTGGACTTTTATGATGGGGGTGACAACAATGCTCCAAGACTTGGAAGTTATTCAGGTAAATAAAAGCCTGAGCTTAATTATAGTACAGATGTAATTAGAAATGTAAAGTCTCCTTTTTAAAAAGAGCTCTCTAGACGTCTGATTTTGTGATTTTAATTTGCTTTCACTAATTATATACAATGAAATAAATTACAAGGTTAGAGTAATAAAAAAAATTTAAAGATAACATTAAAATTGCTATTTAAAATCATACTATATCCTTGCTGTGTATGTATAATTATTGACACTTTATGTTAATGCTAATATTTTCATCTTTACTCTGGTTCACAAATAATAAGTATTCTTTTTCCCTAAAAGGAAAAAAAAGAAAAAACAATAGTTAAAAGCTCAATACTATGTAAAATTTCAACAATAAGTGAAGAATTTGGTAATTACGATCTATACACTCAGTGGAATATTAAGTGGTCATTAAAATAATTATAGAGACTAAGTGGCAACATGGCAATGCTACAAGGTACTATAAAGGTAGAGTGACTGGAACACAAAATTATCGGTGAAATGAATAACATTGTATAAAATTAATACATGCATATAAAAACAACCCCAGAGGAAATACAAAATAAATAAAATAGTTTGGTGTAAGCAAGGAAGTGACTTATTTTTCTGTTATTTCAGCTTTGTTCAGCTTTTTTAAGGTAATATATGCAATAATATAAATGCTTCCTTCAACATAATAGAAGGCAAAACAGAGTTTTACTTTGTTAAGATTACTATTATAGTTGTTAAACTCTGGAAATATGAACCTTGCTAATATTTTAATGTATGCGTTCCAGATATGCAAAAGTAAGTTTTAACGGGTTTAAGCTCTGATGACCAATTGTTCAGCTAGCCAGTAAGGAAAAGAAAGACAAGATCTAGAGCAGAGTGAGTTGCCTTAGGTATAAAAAAATAATTTATCACATTTAGATAAAAATCTTCTTGGAAAAACCTTATAAAATATCAAGTACACTTCTGTTTATAATAGGTTAGATGTAGCACTTTCTTAACAATAAATATAGCAATGAAAATGAAAAAGTAATGAATAACATCTATGGATTACTGAGTGGTAGCTCTGCCCCAGGCAACAAATTAAACGTTCAATTCACAATTCCTCATTTGATCTTTCTAGCACTTCTGTAAGGTATTTAGGGCTTAGAGAGCTTAGGTTGTCTCAATTGTACAGCTAACGTCAGAATGGAATTGAGACCCAGCTGCTCTGCCTCCAGAGCCGAACTCTTAATCATAAAGATCCACCTAGAGACTGAAGATAGGTGGAGTCACCTGTTCAGTTTCTGTTTACTTCTGGATTCACTGATTCTGGGTAGGACATGATGGCAGAGGGCAAGATCAGAAAAAAAGCAGTTGTGTGTTGTGTAATGTATGATTTCTGATTTCTTCAAGAGAAAGCGTCAGTGGTTAAAGTCTACAAGATTGTGAAAAGCAATCATGAAGTAACAGTTGATTGAAAACAATGCAGCACTCTCATACGCTTGTTGAATGTTATCTTAAAATGTGGGAGAAGAGGCGGTTACTTTTATGCCGGTCTTTTCAAACTGCTTGAGTTATAAGCTGAAGGATCTTGAACTATTACTTTGCTCAGTGTTAAATAGACAAAAAGTACTTAAATCAAGGAGGCATTTTATATTTCCAAGTTCAATAATTGAATAAACTAATGTTAAAGTACCAGCCACTCCTCGGAAGGAAGGTTGGGCAATCCTACTTCCGTAGTGATACTGCCTCGGAAACCCAAGGAGGGGTCGCTATGAGTCGGTGCTGACTCCACGGCAAACAACAACAACAATGTTAAAGTACTCTAAAATGCAAAAGAACATCATTATGATGCGTTTCCTTAAAGATAAGAGACAAGGCTAACACTCTTCCATGGCTGGGATTTTTTGAAAGCTACCTACCTACAAGCTTTGCTGTCTGGGTATGAGAGACATTAAAGTTCTTCACATGGTATGAAAAACCCATTGTTGTTGAGTACATTCAGATTCATAGTAGCTAATATGTTAGCTGGGAGCTCTGGTAGCATAGTGGCTAAGACACTTGCCTGCTAACCAGACGGCTGGCGGTTCAAACCCACCAGCCACTCCTCGGAAGGAAGGTTGGGCAATCCTACTTCCGTAGTGATACTGCCTCGGAAACCCAAGGAGGGGTCGCTATGAGTCGGGGCCGACTCGACGGCACATAACAACAACAACAATATGTTAGCTACTATGCCCCGGAGTTTCTAAGGCTGTAATCATAATGGAAGCAGACTGCCTCATCTTTCTCCTGAGGAGCAAAGGAAACCTTCCAACCTTTCCCTTAGCAGCCAAACAATTAACCATTTCTCACTAGGGCTCCTTTGAGGTGGTATAGAACATATATTATGAGCTCTGATAGCATAGTGCCTAAGGCATTTGACTGCTAACCAGAAGGCTGGTGGTTCAAACCCACCAGCCACTCCTTGGAAGGAAGGTTGAACAATCTGGTTCCGTAGTGCTACCACCTCGGAAACCCAAGGAGGGGTCACTATGAGTCGGGTCCAACTTGATGGCACATAGCAACAACAACAACAGAACATATATTAAAAAAATATGTGTAATCACTAATAGGAGCTCTGGTAGCTTAGTGCCTAAAACACTTGACTGCTAACCAGAAGGCTGGTGGTTCAAACCCACCAGCCACTCCTCAGAAGGAAGATGGGGCAATCTACTTCCATAGTGATACTGCCTCAGAAACCCAAGGAGGGGTCCCTATGAGTTGGGTCCGACTTGATGGCACATAACAACAACAATCACTGATAAAACACTCTGCCACCAAGCCCATTCTGACACATAGTGACCCTATAGGAGAGCACAGAACTGCCCTATAGGTTTTCCAAGGCTGTAATCATTATGGGAGCAAATGTCCACATATTTGTCTCTTGAGCAGCAAATGGGTTCAAACTACTGACCTCTTGGGTAGCAGCTGAGCTCTTTAACCACTGTGCTACCAGGGCTCCTTATGAAGTGGTAAGTGAACATGTCATCTGAAGTCATACAAAGTTTTACATTACTCAACCATAAAAATACATGCAAAAAATAAAATTATTTCTTATTAGCTCATGCATAGAAAATTGAAATCCACATGAAATTGAAAACATTTATTTTAGCTAAACTGTAAAATTTAGTAGCTTGAATTTCCCCAGCTGCCTTTTGCTCCTACCTACTTTTAAGAAGCTATCTAAAATGATCTCAAAGATCTGTCTCTTAGCAAATGAGATAATCAGGAACAGCAAAATGAAAAAGGAACGTAGACAAATATTTATATTGAAATGTGTTTGATACTAATTTAGTGATGATCTATTGGCTGACTAGTAGGTAACTTACTGAATTTCACCACATTGCTTTCTGTATTGTGGTCATTGACCTGCCATTTCATTTATCATTTCAGGCACAACAATACCCCATCTTTTGAACAGTACATCTAACAATCTATATCTAAATTTTCAATCAGATATCAGTGTTTCTGCTGCAGGATTTCACCTGGAATACACAGGTAAAAATAATATTATGGTATATTCATTAAAGTTAAATGTAAACCTTTATTTCATTCAAAAAATACTTCCCTGAATATAGGAATTACAGTGACTTCGCCAAAAAGGAATATTCAGTCTTATATTCTTAAGGTTTTGAAATGTTTCTTTTATTCAGTTACAAATTATATGTGTATAGTTCTATTGACTTTCAGCATAATTTGTAAGTATTTTCAAAATGTGGGCAAAGTTAATAGATCCTGTAGAAATTTGGGAACTCAAATTGGAGGAAGTGGCTTTTATTGTTAAATATTTTTGTTGTTACGTGCTGTCGAGTTGGCTTCTACTCTGATGAACTCGTATAGAAGAACTGAAATGTTGCTGGGACCTGCACTATCCTCACAGTATTTGCTATGCATAGTTTTGACCACTGCATCAAAAGTCTTATTGAGGATCTCTCTATTTTTCGCTGACTCTCTACTTCTGCATAGGAAATATATATTCACTTTCCTACTCCTTAAAATAGTTTTAGACACATAACAGATGAGGTAGCCAATTAAATACATTCATGGGACATGATGGTTTATTTTCCCTATCATATACTATGAGAAGTGTAATTAGGTAATTATGTTTGTAGTGCCTAAGGCACTTGACTTTTAACCAGAAGGCTGGCGGTTCAAACCCACCAGCCACTCCTCGGAAGGAAGCAATCTACTTCCATAGTGCTACTGCCTCGGAAACCCAAGAAGGGGTTGCTATGAGTTGGGTCTGACTCGACGGAACATAGCAACAATAACAACAACATGGATATTTATACATTTACTCATTCTCTGGCTAAAACGTGAGCTTCAAGAAGACAGGATCTGTCAGGAAGAAAGAACCTTGTCCATTTAATTAGTCATTGTGTCTCTAGCACTGAGCCCAATCTTGAATCTTGTTAGGTTCTAAAAGTCCATTTGCTGAATCCATAAATGAAATGAACGTGTGAGCTCAAAACTTGGAAGTAGAAGATGAAAAATATATGACATTGGCATATGCAATTATCACCAGTATACCAATGCTGACACTGACGTTTACAGAGATTTGGAATATAGATATGTAAAACTAAAAAAAAAAAAAAATAAAGAGAAAACAACCAAACTCACTGCTGTCCAATTGGTCCCAACTCATAGTGAGGCCTCCTTGGGTTTCCACGGCGATATCTCTACAGAAGTAGATTGCCCAAACTTTCTTCCAAGGAGTGGCTGGTGGGTTTGAACTGCCAGCCTCTGGTTAGCAGTCAAATGCCTTAGCCACTATGACATCAGATCTCCCAGTATATATATGATGTAGGCATCTTAAAATTATGTACTACTTGTCTCTGCATCCTAGAGGTACCCCATTGAAGATTACCTCCTCAACATTTCTTTGTCCAGGCCACTCATTTCCCACTGTAACATTATTGCCTACCCTGGAATTTCTGATAGAAGAGAAATTCTCTATGGGAAAGAACAGAGATTGTAGGGTTTTCTGCAAGTATAGTCATGCACTAAATACATAGTGGTTAATTGATTTTTAATATTTTGGGGGGTTTTACAGTGAAATGTTTTATCTTTACTTTCCTGCTCCTTTTAGCCTCAGATACAACAATGTAATTATTGTAATAAAGTTACATGACAAATATATAGATGATTCATTCACTCATGTTTCATTTAACCAGCTAATCTTTTGAATATATATGTATTCTTTGCCAGGTTCTATGCTTGACATGGGGCATACAAAGATAAATATGTCATGTCCTCCTTTTTGATGAGATCACAGGATAGTAAGGGGGACAGAGATAAAGAAATAATACAGTATTATGAAGTCAGTAATAGAGATGTTTACTAAAAGAAGTAAGTAATTAGTTCCAACCAGGAAGTCCAGGCCAGATATCAAACAGGGTGAACCCTTGAGATGAGTCTTAAGGAAGAAGCATGAATTTAATAATTAAATATTTTCAACAGAGGGAATTTCATGCTCATATAGAGCTGTGGAAAGTGATGCGTTAGGGAATTTTTGATTGGTTATGAGGGTTTGAGAACAAAGTTTGAGGCAACATCTAGAGCTAAGACTTTGTATAGCAGGATCATCCATGAGAGGTGTAGGATATCATAATCAGGAATTTTATTTCCTTGTAGTTGAGCCAATGGAAAATTAGCTTATATTTTCCTACTTATACATAATACAGTCTCTAAATTATGAACAAGTTGTGTTCCTAAGTTTGTCTTTAAGTCAAATTTGTATGTAAATCAGAACAATTAGGTATGGATCGTATGTAATATCAGTCAAATATTTATATTAGTATATAGTATATAGTGTACCTTTCTATGTATACAAATATTAAAGAAAAACTTCATAAAACATCTTTAAGTAAATAATGTTGTTGTTGTTGTTATGTGCCGTCAAGTCAGACCCGACTCATAGCGACCCCTCCTTGGGTTTCCGAGGCAGTATCACTATGGAAGTAGATTGCCCAACCTTCCTTCCGACGAGTGGCTGGTGGGTTTGAACAGACAGCCTTCTGGTTAGCAGTCAAGTGCTTTAGGCACTATGCTACCAGGGCTACAGCAATAATAATGTTTTGAAATATGTAGCAAAGTAACATCCATTGACTATTATGAGCCAAATGCATGTACCTCAAACTTTTAGAACAAGAGGCTTTAGAGGGCTTGCTTCATTTCTATAGGTGGTAGGTAAGTTGGATGACCATAAGCTGGTAACCATTTGTACATATCATATTCATATTCATAAACATATCAAACATATCAAAATGACCATTTTTAAGTCCCAGGTATACAACTTTTGCATTGCTAAAATGCACCATTGAATGCTGAAGGGAACATTTATTTGTATAAGATAAATGGTACATATATAATTAAAATTGAATGCAATTATTTACCCAATTATCTATAATATATTTCAAACAGCTTTTATTGGTTCCAAAAACCAAACCAAACTTACGGCCACAGAGTTAATTCCGATTCATAGTGACCCCCATTGAGTTTCCAAGGCTGTACATCTTTATGGAAGTAGATCTCCCCGTCTTACTTCTGCAGAGTCCTGGTGGATTTGAACCACTCACTTCTTCTGGTTATCAACCAAATGCCTTATCCGCCACAAGACCAGAGTTCCTTTTTTATTGGTTAGAAACTATTAATTATTCTCAATAAATGAAGGAAGTTGAAGTATATCTTAATCAATGACTAATAGCACCTAACCTTATCAGACAAGGAGTTACGGTAGCACAGTGCCTAAGGCACTTGACTGCTAACCAGAAGGCTGGCAGTTCAAACCTACCAGCCACTCCTTGGATGGAAGATGGGGCAATTCACTTCCCTAGTGATGCCGCCTTGGAAACTCAAGGAGGGGTCGCTATGAGTCGGGTCCGACTGGACGGCACATAACAAAAACAACAACAACTTATCAGACAGTGACTCTAGACTTTTACTGCTGCTCTTTAGTGAAAGCATTGACTAGTGGATTTGAAAAAACAAAAACCAAACTCACTGCCTTCAAGTTGGATCCGACTCATAGTGACCTCTCCTTGGGTTTCCAAGGCGGTATCACTATGGAAGTAGATTGCCCAACCTTCCTTCCGAGGAGTGACTGGTGGGTTTGAACCACCAGCCTTCTGGTTAACAGTCAAATGCCTTAGGCACTACACCACCGGAGTCATAGTGAATTTATATCTTCTGGCAATTTTAAACTTGAAAACTAATTTTGACAGGCAGGCTCATTGTTATTTCTGCTTGGTGCCATCATGTCAGTTCTGATTCAGAGTTACCCTGTGTATAACAGAGGAAAATACTGCCCAGTCCAGAACCAATCAAAACCATTACTATAGTTGATCTCATTGTTGCAGGCACTGTGTCAATCCATCTTTTGAGGGTCTTCTTTTCTGGTGACCTCCTACTTTAGCAAGCATGATGTTCATTTCCAGGGACTGGTCTCTCCTAATAACATGTCCACAGTACATGAGATGAAGTCCTGTCATCCTCACTTCTAAGAAGCATTCTGGCTATACTCCTTCCAAGACAGATTTGTTTGTTCAGACTGCCAGAAGGCAGCCTATGGTACATTTAATATTCTTTGCCAATAATATAATTCAAAGGCATAAGTTCTTCTTTGGTCTTCCTTAATCATTATCCAGCTTTTGCAGGTATAAAAGAGAATGGAAAATATGACTTGATTTAGGCTCAACTTAATCCTCAAAGTGACATCTTTGCTTTTTAACACTTTAAAGAGGTCCTTTGCAACATATTTTCCAATGCCTTTTCTTTCTTTTTTTTTTAATTTTTATTATGATTCGAGTGAAAGTTTACAGAGCAAATTCTTTTTCCATACAGCAATTCATAGACATTTTGTTTCATGACATTGACTTCAATTCCCCACAATGTAATAGCTTTCTTCCCACTTTCTCCCTGTAGTTACCTCTTCCCTGTTCTTCCTTCCCATGTCCTCTTGCCCCAAGCTGTCTCCCTGTGAAAACACTGCCCTTCTATTCTCCCACAATTGATCGATTGATTGTTCCAAGGAGTTTATCTAGCTGATGTAAATGTTCACCCCATATACCTGTTTATTGTTTGGATGGAAGCCAGGAGAGCGAGTTAGTTCCAGACCTGAACGGTAACTAGGGACCATAGTCTCAGGGCCCTATCAGACCAGCAAACCTGGTCTTTTTCCTATGACTTTGAATTTTATTCCACATTGTTCTCCCACTCTATTCAGGATCCCCTGCACTCATCCCCCTCAGAATGGTTGACAGTGGTAACCGGGCACCATGTACTTCTTTCAGTCTCATGGTCATATAGGCTGAGGATGGCATGGTCTACCAGTCCCTTGTACACATTGTTTCCATATGTCTTTGGCTTTCTTCTTCTTTTTTTTTGCTCTGGATGAGGAGAAACCTCTCATTGCAGCTATTTGGGCATTTTCAAGCTTTTAAGATATCAGTCACTACTCACCGAAGTAGGATGTAGAACAATGTTTTTGTGTAGTATGT